ATGGGGAGGGAGGGGGAGATAAAGCGACGGGGTGGCTTATATTAATCATACTACGATATCTCAATCCTCTTGTCTTCCTTCTCTTCAGAATACTTCCAGCCGTCCCCACCGAGAGGCTCCGTCCCACACCGCTACCAGTTCTTCCTGTTCCAACTGCCCGCCGACCACAGCGGAGGTGTAACAGGCGGTGAGAGCCGTATGTTCAGCCTCTGCTGCTTCGTCAACGACAACAACTTGAAGGACAAACTGCTGGCAAGCTTCCAGTTCCAATTTCAGCGGCAGTGAAAAGTACCAGTGATTGCGGCCCACAGGCCGACAGCGAGATCGCGTGCACGATATGTGTCACGACGTGGTGGAATCAGGCACTCGTTAATTTTTGGGCATGTAGAGTTATTCGTATCATCTTAAAGCTTGTACACTTGTCTTTATTTGGATGAAAAACATGTCCATTTATCGTGAGTACAAATCGAGATATTTGAGAAAGAAGGAGGTGGGGGTCACCTGTTTTCAGAGGTAAATTTAGTGAGAAAATAGCCGCCAAAGATGAATTGTTTCCTTAGCTCAAGAGTCCATGGTAACTGAAAATTTACAGTAAAAATCAACACAAAATGTGTTCTTAATTGAACGAAAATGGTTGAGCCAAAAAATAAATTTAAAAAAAATCGATCAAAATTGCCAAACTGGCAGAAAAATGTCAGTTTCTTCAATTTCATTATTTTGACGAGCGCCTGAGTTCACCACGCTGCCTAACATATATTTTACAAAGATTGCTCACCTATTGTTCCTGATATCATTCGGTTATTTAATTGTTCGAGCAGTTTTAGTAAGCGTTTTAGCGCGCTTGCAACATAGTAAGACCATATTATTATTATAAGTGCCGAAGCTTAGAGGTCTTACAGGAGAGTAACAGACAAAAGAAAGGAAGAAATCGATTTTAGTTGGTTTTAATAAGAGGCACTAATTGCAACACAATAAGGTCATATCAATAACGAAGGTTAGAGGTGTTACTGGCAAGTAACAGACCCAATAAAGGAGGAAAGATAATGACGATACCTGTTTGATAAGAAAAAGAAGGAGCAAACCACACCAGAACACCCGCCAACCACATACTTTTACCCAGTTTGATGTGTTTTTTGTACATGTATAAAGTATAAAGTTTAAGCAGGAGTTAAGTTATAGGGAAGTTTGAGAGACTGGAAACTTGGATGACAAAATAAGTTTCGTACAAAGGAGAAGCAGTCTTTTTAAATTGAATATTAAGAGTTGATAGGTCGGACAAGTACACTCCTACTTTGGACGAAAAGAAATACAATTATAACACGTGGCTCGACGCTGTCGAATCAGGCGCTCGTCAAATTGTTGAAATACTAATCTATATTGAATAGAAGTAAAGATATTGGCGATTGAAGAAGGTGGGGGTCGGCTGATGTCACAGGTAAAGCTAGCGAGAGAAAGAATGGCTGCCATAGTTTGGTGATTTCCAAAGCTGCGGTGCCCTTAAAAACTAAATGTACATTTTCTTTTCTGCTTTTGATCAACGCTTTTCAGTAAAAGTCCTCACAGAAATGGACATAATATGGTGTTGAAGGATAAAAAAAAGGAGGGGAAAAATCGGTTAAGAACAAAATACCAACAGGTGGGAAAATGCCGATTTCTTCAATTTCATTTTTTTGACAAGGGCTTGATTTAAACACAATGCATTCAAATAATAAGTTTATTATTTCTATGCAGCAACGTCACATTATTATACAACCAAATTCAATTAAATTTGACTGTGGCCCTCATTCAAAATTAAACGCGTTTGTTTTTCAAGGTTTGACTGAAAGGAGAGGAAATAAAAGCTCTGAGTTACTACTTAGAGTTGCTAGAGAAGTGAGACTTCTCTCTCGTTATTTCTCTCTCTCTCTCTCTCTCTCTCTCTCTCTCTCTCTCTCTCTCTCTCTCTCTCTCTCTCTCT